GAAGCAGGAATGTCCCTGTGGGAATGCTCAGCACACTTGAGTCAAGTTGGATTCAGGGCTGTGAGAAAGCAGCCCAGAGTCCCAAGAACTGAGCTAAAGGAATCTGATGGATTTCCATCCCTAAAGTGGATTCTTCATGCACCCCATCTGATATCAGATCATCCTTGAACATGCACATGGCATGCAAGTCAGTGTATTCTGATTCGTGTTTCCAGCAGAAAGCCTTCTCCAAACCTGAACATGACCACAAGGGAAAGTGTACATATTCTCTTTTTGATGCACCCTTTGTAAACGTGGGCAATGACCAATGTTACTAACAGTAGAATATGGAAACATTCTTCTGTGCCCAAGTCCATTTTCCATCTGCCAAGTGTTGGTTCTTCTGACTTATGCTCAGGTGCTTTGGAATTTCTGTTCTTGTTGAGTTTATCTTAGAACTGTGATGTAGTGGCGGGGGGGGGGGGGAGTTGCACTTCTCCTCCCTTGCATATATCCTCTGTCACCTATCAGTCTCCTCAGCTAGCTGAAAAAAATGATGACAATTTCTTTTCCACTAAATTGAATAAAAATGATTGAGATCTGTGGAAGAAAGTACTATGCAGGGAGAAAATTTTTTCTCAGGTTCAGGAATTGTTGCAACTCAAGAAAAAGAAGGGTAATATTTGATTAAAAGCTTCTAAACCTAGCATGAATAAAAAAAGAAGAAATGTCTAGAATACAATGAACACAAGAGACATCTTTAGAGATTTAAAAGGTGCTCCATTGTGACATGAGCTTCAATGGACAAGAGTCTGTTTCACTAAAGTCATTGCAACGAGATAACTTGCTGGAGTCTTGCAAATATATAGTAGGAAAAGACTTGTAAAGAAAAGACACTTCATCAGATACATGAAAAGATGAAATGGGTTCTAGTCCATGAAAACTCACTTTCACAATCCTATGTTCTCTCTGCATGGCCATAGGAGTCCCTGGACTTCCAGCTCCAGCTTTGGAAACTCACTTTGAACTCAGAGTTGAGGTTCCAAATTTGAAGTCCTGTTCCTCTGCATTCACAGCTAGCATGGAAAGAACCATCCTGACTGCAACTCCAAGTGTTTTGGAACCATTCCATTGTGGGAACAGGGAGTGGATGAATTGAGTGCTTCCAGAATCTAGCCACAGGTTTCAGAATCTGCTGTCACAGACTTGAAAGATTTGGGAGTACTTATGGGATTCTCCTATTTGATCTGCAGTCTGACAATCAACTTTCCTCACACCACATTGATTCTCATTAGGCCTGTGCTTGGCTTTAAAAACTATCTTGAATTGCAACCTAAAACGAATGGCTTTATCCAGCATTACTCTAACAAGTCCCATTCATTTTAATAGGCCTATTCCAAATCAGACTAACACTGGATGCAATTCATAGATCCTAAATACATTTTGGACCTTACCTCCTTTGAAAGTGATTTCCAGACAATTGCTTAAACTACAACAGCAGAGAAGTAAAGGTCACTTCCATGCTCCTCTCACACTGTAAAACCCCTAGATGGTTGATTTTGGTCATCTAAACATGTTTCCCTAGAGGACTGGGATGCCCCCACAAGCTGGCAGAGCATGTCTCCTTCCTCTCCCCAAAAGCCTACCTCTCAGGTTGCTCTTACAACCCTGGAGCCATGGTGGCACAGTTTTTTCTGTGCCAGCTGCAAAGGCAGAGATAGGACCTTCTGAATTTGGAATCCCTGCCCCAACTTGCTGCAACTTTCCAAAGCTGGAGCTCTGGATACTCGTATCGCCATCTCAGCTGTTTAGCAGCTATAGAATGATGGCCTCAAACACTCTCCTGTTTTGTTCACTTAGAATTTCCACTTCCAGTTGACTTGACACTCTTTTTTTTGGGGGGGGGGGGAGTCAAAGATGAATTGTTCTTGGACACTGAAACTCAGTTCCAGTAGTCTTTCTTGGAAGATACCTGGGAATCCACATTGCCCACGTCTCTCTCTCTCTCTGCTGTAAAAGAGCCAAATAATATGCTGCATCCCTTTTCTAGACTTATGCATTAGAGACTGATGTATGAGTGATCCAGGAGGCAGCTCTTCCCACAGACCTGCTCCTGGAATCCCTTGTTTGAATGTTTCCCCTTAGCCACAGCTCCTGTCATCATAGCACCACCAGAGAATTTTCCTTTGGTATTCATGTCTGGGAACAGTTTATTCCCTAAACTTGGAAAACTAGAATTGCAAAGTTATTTAAAGGTGAATCTCAAACAGGGCTCAAGGGGATAAGTGGATTCATTCCATTCTGATGTCCCTCCACCAGCATCTTCCTTTTTGAAAAGTTTGCTTTGCACAGTGTCAAAGACAGTGAATGAAAATATATATACCATGTAAGTTCCCTCTGTGAAAACGCAGCAGAGGATGTCTATCATCATTCTCACTTAATTTTAAATATAGGATTAGAACATGTCCCAGTCCTCCTATTCTTCTTGCAAGGTGGTACTTAATATGCAAAACCAATTCCACACACTGGTGTTTAAAAATGATCCTTGCTTTAGAAAGGCACATAAAACTTTAAGACACAATGAAGACCATAAATTATCACTCCTGCTATGAACATCCAAAGGAAACTGAGCTTTAAGGATGATTTTAAATGCAGGGTATGGTGGGGGGAATAGTCACAAGAGGGGAAAACACAATAAATTAAATTTTTCTTTTAAGGTTGAAGAGGGTGGTTGTTGTTATTGTTTGACAATCTTTGGGGAACCTATCATTACTAGAGATGATCGAAAACTTTTGAACTAAAAGAAGACTTATATTTCTTGCCTAAATTACTATAAACAAACATTTATTTGACTTCCTCGAGGAACAATTCTGTGCATATTTAGACAGAAAAAAAATGGCCTACAATTTCCCTGGGGCATGCTAGATGTTGTAGGCTGTTTTCTGTTTAACCTGGTTTAGGATTTCACCTTTACAGATCCATGCTAAAAAAAAAAAAGGGGGGGGGATTCCCAGTCTCTGACTCAGATTACTCATAGAATGCTAGGAAATGCATGCAATTGCCTAGAAAGAACTGCCCCAGTCAGTCTTGTTGCTCATCATTTTCCACTGTGGGAAGATACAAGGAGTAAAAGGTAAAGGTTTCCCCTTGATGTCAAGTCCAGTCATGCCTGGCTCTAGGGGGCGGTGCTCATCTCCGTTTCCTAGCCGGGGGAGCCAGCGTTTGCTGCAGACAGTCTCCATGGGCATGTTGCCGGCATGACTAAACACCGAAGTGCACGGAACGCTGTTACCTGCCCACCGAAGTGGTCCCTTTTTATCTACTTGCATTTGCAAGCTTTCGAACTGCAAGGTTGGCAGGAGCTGGGACGGAGCAACGGGAACTCACCCCATTGTACAGATTCGAACAGCAACCTTTCAATCAACCAGCCCAGCAGCACAGTGGTTTAAACCACTGCACCACCTGCAGTCCCCTAAACAAGTAGTAAGTGCAAGTAAAATGAATATATTTACTAGAAGGGAATCCATGCCAACAGCATCAGTGCACTTCTCAATCACTTCAGTGGGCCATTTATTTCAATGGGACACTCACTGAAACTGATGGGAATTCCATAGTCAATGTGCTAGAATGCTGACCTTGTTATGCAGAAGATAAATTGTTGTTGATGTTAGTTCTGAAGTCGTGTCTGACTCATTGCGACCCCATGGACAACATTCCTCCAGGCTCTCCTGTCCTCCACCATCCCCCGGAATCCACCCAAGCTCACACCAACTGCCTCAGTGACTCCATCCAGCCACCTCATCCTCTGCCGTCCCCTTCTTCTTTTGCCATCTATTGTTCCCAGCATTAGGCTCTTCTCCAGGGAGTCCTTCCTTCTCATTAGGTGGCCAAAGTATTTGAGTTTCATCTTCAGTATCTGGCCTTCTAAAGAGCAGTCAGGGTTGATCTCCTCTAGGACTGTAGCACAATTTTAAAAAATGTGGTACCCATTGTTCATGCAACATTCGTATAAGTTCTTATAACCCACAGTTGACTCCTGATTCATCAGCAGGGACAGGTTCAATTGCATTCTCAAAACAAGGAATGGTTTTCCTACTTCACAAAACAGGCCACCATGCTGGCTGAGACAACAGTTGATCATAGATGAGCCATTTCAAAATCTTTGGCTAAGGATGCAGAGACAGAATTTCATATTGTTTCACAATCCTATATTAAATCTCCCTTTGTAACCAGGATCCAAATCCTGAATTCTGAACACAGAGAACTGAACTGGGCAAGCTAGTTCCCTATACACTGTCTTGCTTGACTGCCCTGTTTAGCTTGCCTGTTCAGGTAGACTTTGCGTTTGAAGGCTGTCCAAATTAATCAGCGCAGCAGAGGGAAAGGGTTACTCTGAATTAATTCTTGTAAGCAGCTCATTGGTGTCATTAAAGCTAATAGGAATGAGCTTCCAATCTAGCCACAGAACCTACACATGCAGAAATTTAGCCCTGGGATTTCAATTTGAAGTCAGAAATCCAGTCAGCACTTGCATAAACTTGCTTATGGGCAGACTTTCCCTTGCTGGATTATGGAGCATAATAGGCTATGGTAGGCTTAGGCTTAGAACCATGTTAGGCTAATAAGTCCGTATCCTAAAATTTCAGAAGTTTGCTCTAGATACTATTGCAGATCTTAGGCAAAGGTCTTAGTTTCAGAAGTTTTCAAAGCAATCACTTCTTCATTCCAATATGTAAAAAATACTTTCATTATGTTTATTATAAAAATATAAATGTTTCCACTACAAATAATTTTACATTAGTAACAGGCCATCTACAATTGCACAACATAATTAACTAATGGAGTAAGTAATGCTTTGAAATAAACATCAAAAGTAAATGCAGATTTGTCACATCTATACATTGCTTATTGGATTCTAAAGTACAGCAAAGACTATGTTATATGTTAACAGAAATAAATAATAGATGTAAAAACAATATTTTAATGATATAAAATCAATAATATGGTACATATTCTTTGTGAAGATTTTGTGTTGTCTGTTGATGTAAATAATAATCAAAGATAGGTCCTGTACAGGAAGATGGCCACAAAAAATCTACTTCCTCTACTCCACAGTTAAGAATTGTACACTGCTATGTTTACATATGTACAGGGGGAGATGGGTAGCATGGTTTAGGAGGCCACTGAACAGTACAAAATTGTAAGAAAGAGAAGACTAAAAGCTGCTTTAAAAACCTTTTGCAAAAATTAAATTCCTCCTGAACAAAAAAGGAACTCAGATCTTAGTACTGAACACAATCAGAATAATATTCCATAACCTTATTGGAGACTGAGAGATAATTAAGGATAGGTAAAACTAAAATTTATTCTGAATACTTGCTAATGAACCATTTTCTTTCTTTTACAGCCATTTCAGGTTGCCTTCAGGACAATTTGTTCCACATGGTGCTACTGAGTATATCAATAGAATTATTATTTTTCTTTTAAATGACTTCCTGCTAGCATGGATGTGCACTTAGAACTGAAGCTCAAATGCAAGGAGGAGAAGGTTATGACAATATTGGAAAACTTGAACATGGACTTTAGATGGTACATTCTCCTGAAATGGCAATGGAAGATACTATCATTTTGGATTCAGAAGGAACAAATAATTATTAGGAAGGTACACCAGCACTATTTTATGCTTGTTAAAATTTGATCCCATTTTGTTTTAGACTCGACAATCTTCCTGAGGTCATGGTTTTTAGAATAGAACCATTTAAAATGCTGCTACTTACCATATGGAATGATGGACAGATGAACCAAATGAAGCTCAAGAACATATGATACATGTTGATTTAGAGATTGTTTGCTATACATTGTCCACATACCATCTTGCAAGAACTTTGCACTCTTTATAGTACAATCCTATGCATGTAAGTCCCTGTGTTCAGTGATGCTTACTCCCTTGATCATGTATTTAGTATTGCAATGTTAATAAGTGAACATTAACAGGTTAAGAACTAGGCAAGGGATTTCCAGCTTTTCATTTTCTGGAACCCAGACTAATATAAGCAAGTAATTTTACGACCGTGTAACACATCATACATTTTGTTAAAAGTGTTGCACAGCCCAACATTATGTTCATACTGCAAACATTTAATGATGTGCAATTATGCAAGCTTGTGCTAGTTTGTGGAGAATATATGAACAACTTTCTCCATGTAGAAAAATGATTGTGTATTTCCCTGGATTGCACTATGCAGAACATTGTGCATGGAAATGTCCGTATTTCTTTACACGTGTGTGTGTGTGTGTGTGTGTCTGTGTCTGTGTCTGTGTGTCTGTGTATATATGTGCAGACCTTTTTTGGCAGACCTCTGGATTGGGGCCCATTTACTTGGAAGCAAGTGTCATTGGTTTCACTGAATTTTCTTCCAAATATTAGGATTGCAGGCAATGCCTAGAGAATTTGGCACCCAGCAGCCATTAATCCCAGTCAAAACATATAAAAATGTAAACAGTAGGAAAGAATTCAAAGGGAAATAAATATGCCTTTTATAAAAAAAATAAGACTTGCTTTTGTTAAAGAATACACTTATCAAAGCTAGCCCCATGACAAATATTATTTGTGAACTATTGCCTCCATTATATCACAAACATTGTTCATGTTTTCCTTCCAGAGCTGAAATAGAATATTGCAAGAATATCATTACAGATATGGCCAGACAATTCTGAGGTATTATCCCCAAATATCCTTACAAGAATTACTTTAAAGAAATAAAATACTAGTCACCTATCCTTTCCACCTATAAAAAAATACTGAAAGTTTTTTTCCCCTTGCTGCTGCTGACAATTGATCAAAATACAGCATTACATCCATAGACGATTTGTTTGCCTTTCATGGTATTCGGTCCATTAACATTTGAATGGCTCTAAGTTACATGGAAGGATTTTAAAAACATTTTAAACATTTCCTTTCAAATGCATTATAGGTTTGAGCAGTCCAGTATTACAAGGGGGGAAGCACCCTCCTTCAAGAATAAGAGATAGAAAAAAAAAAAGTTTTTCATTCCTATTTTAAGGCAATTTTACTCAATGTATGAGTCTCTCAGTGGGCTTGAAATTTCTACCCAACTGTCATATTTCCCACTTTGTTACAAGAGTGCCTTTTAATTCTCGCAGTTTTTCATTCATCACCATAACCTTTGCAGTCACTTCTTGCTTCCTCTTGTTGTGTCCTGAGTGTCAACATTTTGGTAGTTTACACAGGCACCGGACCATTCTTTGTATGCATTTCTAGAGACTTAATACTGCTAATAAGCTTCTTCTGTGGCCCGACAATTGTCACACCAACTTTCTTCATGTCACTGGAAAATACAAACCACAGCTGATGAGTTTGCTGTAAGTTACATTTTCATAAGAATAATTCAGAATATAAGAAAGGCTCTTTTTCATTCTTGAAAAATCTGGAATATTTCCAGATCTTAGAAAACCTCCCATGTCATGGTGCCCTCCATGATGCCTGGGAATTGTGGGAATGGCAGTCCAATGGCTTTGGAGGTCAAGGGCAAGTTGGGCAAGGCAGATATAGGAAAAAAGTGGTCCTGACCTGGATTGGAACCCTAGCATGGGAAAGCCATTAAGATTTGACTGGGCTCCCTGTAGCTTATAGGTACAGATTTCATGCGATGTCTGCTTTGTCCCTGCATTTCTGTGAACAGGATTACAGATGAGGGAATGCTTCTAAAGATTTCTCTGCAGAACCCTGGTTCATGGGTTAGCTGTGACAAACAGGTGTGTGCTTTAACTGGACTGAAAGTGTATATTTTGGAGTGTGTGCTGTAGGGCTTAGAGAGTTGACTAGGCCAGTGAGACCTGGGTTAAAATCGCAGGTCCCCAGTGAGTATTCAGCTAGCAAGTGCACTGGGTGATTTGGGGCAAATCACTCTCTCTTTACTTAGCATCTCAAAGAATCTCCCTGATTTCCCTGGAGGAAAGATAAGTTTAAAAGTTTGTGTGTGTGCAGTCTTACAACATCAATCAATAACTGTATGAAAAATTTATGTTTGTTTACATTGATACATCTGCTTGAAAGGTTAAAATTCTTGGAGATCTGCAGAACTCTAAATTACCTCCAAATGGTGGACCAAATGAGGGCTGAAAACCTTTTACTCCTATAACACCTCATGAGCCTAGGCAAAACTTGATAAAGAACTTTGTCTTTTCCTAAAAAAAATCAAAATGTTCCATTTCAAAAATATGGAGTCTTTTTTAGTGGGAAAACACTATTGCATTTACCTATGGCATAATATTTTTAACTTTCTTCCATCTCATACCAGCTTAACTACACCCACTAAATAGCAGTCCGACTAAGGAAGTTATACAGTGCTCCCAGCTACTGCTGCCCAACCTTAATTTAGGGTTTGACAAGGCCCTTAAGGAGAAGTAATTGCAGAGATCTTTTTATTGTGTGGTATTGACACAGGTATACTTTAGGGCCTTCTCAGGAAAGTTGAGCTATTAAATCTTAAACTACAGCTGAAATACAGATACGTTCACTTGGGCTTTTGAGATATAAGTTGGCACTGGGAAATTCTATGTTCAGTGTTATAGTTTTAGGTTTGATTATACCTATGTTTGATTATTCATATGCATAACTGATGTATTTTGTAGTTGTTGTCTTAATTACACAAGGTGCCATCCTTTGCATGTTTAGACAGAAAAAAGGCCAAAAGCTACCAGCATGTTCCAAGCAGCATGGTTGGCAGGAGCATGCTGGGAGCTGTCAGTCTTTTTTCTGTCTAAACATGCATAAGATTGCACCATTAATGGATTTTTGTAGTGCTTGCAGCCCTAGTGTCTCTTGGGAAGAAGACAATTATATTAGCATTGTAATTTTCATTTATAAGTGTAGTAACAAAAACACCTTTGTTTGTGCTAAAGGAGAACATGGTGGTCTGCTGGTGGGCATGAGCCAATTTGGAGTCAGACAATGCATGAATTTATTTAGGGTGAAATTCTATGGCCTCCCAACATTATCTGGGAATGTATAGGATTATTTGTAGTTTCATTTCTGAGGTCCTGTGAATGTAGAGCAAACCCCTCTCATGCACGCCTTCACAGGGACTATAAAGAGAACCACTCAGGCTGCCCCTCTGAGACTGGAAATCAGCCTCTGAAAAGGCTGAAGGGGTGTGTCAGGAAAGGAGGAGGCGGCGGCGGCGGCGGCGGCGGCAGGGGCTGATAGATTACACTGTATCCAAATGGCATGCCCCTTCCTTTCCCTCCTCTCTGCAACATTCATCTGTTTGCCAAAACAGTCTTCCAGGATAAAATGCAGAGCATGAAGTGCTGGACAGGAGAAACTGAGGACACTTGAACTTTACACCATGCGTTGGATGCATGTAAGCCTGTGTCCAGGAGCTTATGTGCATCAAAGGTGGAAGGTATTGGATTGTGCCTTTTAATGTTTAATTGCTAGGAAGCTCAAAGGGTGACTTAGGGCAAGTCACTCCTTCTTGACCTTTCATCTCAAAGGATCTCTTTCTGAGTTATCCGGAGGAAGGATAAGTAAAATGTGTGTGCACTTGTGTGTGAAGCTGTATGAGAAACCACATGAGAAATGAACAAAGGAATAAGTTTTAAGACAAACTCTTACTCTGAGGAAATCTTGGCTATTGTATCACATGAGCTGTATTCTACTCCTGTGAATATGTCCTTGCATTGTCCAAGCCGAATGCCATTGAGCCAGTCACCTGTTGAGCGGAAAGCTGAGATTTCAATGGTGCTTTGGTCCAGAAGGAGATTTGATGGCCTGGAATAAAGTGAATATGATGATAGTAAGAGAGCAGGAATATATGCAAGTTCACCTCACATCTCAACTGTGTGTCAGTCCCAGCAACAGTGTCCAGATGACTTGGCAGGTCACTTGTTTATGTGCAATTGTATGGCTGCAGAGATCTATCCTATTCTGAGAGGTTGCTTTAGAGAAACACCAACATCATGTAATCACAGAGCCTAAGGCTGCCATCTATACCCATGCACTGAGAGTAAGTCCCACTGAAGTGGGTGGGGAATTATTCTAAGGTCAGCTTGCATCATATTGTCTTATCAGTGAACCAGCTTATACCTTAAAATCACTTGTTGCAATGCATCTTCGACACACATGTCTATTTCTAATTTGCAAAGGTAAGTTTAATTCACTTCCATTTTATGCAACTTGACAAACACATCTCAAATAAGAGATTAGTTGACAGCAATGATAAACTTGTTTCATACAGAGAAATGAACTTCTGGATCACAGTAATTTTTAGGTATGTTATTCATTGCTGGCTTACATAAGAAACAGAAAGAACCATTGTACAATTGTTTGCTTCCATATTATTTTTTCATGCCACACAATTCTATTCTATTCTGTTCAGTTGTTCTTACTGTTATTCCAGTTGTTGTTTTTTCTCTTTTTAAAAAGAACTTTTTGGATTTTGAGCATCAGAACTACTTCCATCCTACTCCAAATAGCCAACCAACATGCTTTGTGCTTTAATGTAACCTCTTATCCATGTTTTCAAAATTGTACTAAACTACAACAGCACCTATGTTTTGCACATGGGAACTTGACATTCTGTACATGAAGTAGTGTAGCTATTTTGCTACATTTCTGATAAAACAAAGGTTTATTTTTCTAAAAAGTAAAGTGTAGGACTCATATGCTTACCTTATGTTTGTTTTCCCACTACATGATACAATTATATCCAGTTACTTTCACTACTCCTAATTTATCTATAATACTAGGTCACAAATCCCTGGTTCCCCCAATATTATACCTGGTAGACTACCAGGTAGAGGAAGAGAAAATTACTGTGCACTGACTAAGGAAGCTCTCTCACTCCCCCAGGTGGCCTTAGAGGCACAGTTGCTTGGATTTTCCCTGTCACCTGCCCTCTTGGCTCTCAGGCCAACTGTTACTGCCTGAGGGAAAATGACAATACCCTTAATGGTTGGCCAAGTTCCTACCCTGCTCCAGGCAGCTGGGAGCAGCCTCTGACTTCAGCTCACAGTGCCCAGAATTACTTCAAAAGCTTCTCATTAAAAAGAGAGTTAGAGAAAGAAAAAGAAAGGAAGCATGAATTAGGCAAACACCTCATCTGATTTTCAGCTATGTTCCTGCTAAAGGAGAATGCAGAGACTATCAGTCAAGGACTCCTCCATTCTCAGGAATTTGTATCTCCCTTGAACTTTGTTGTCCCCAGGGATTTTCACACTAGAGAGAGACAGCGAAGCAAAATAGAAGCTTGTGCCAACATTGCCATTCAAGACTATGATCCTATACATATTTTGTGGCAGCGGGGGGTGGGGGGGTGGGGCTTTAACCCCTATCACTCCTCAGCCAGCATGGCTGGCCAGGGAATGCTGGGAGTTGTAGGACTTTTTCTGTCCAAATATGCATAGGGTATCACCCTCACACTTTCTATATGGTGGTGTCCATATTTGCAAAATGTGTATGCAAAATGTAGTTAGCTACCGTTCTTGTGTATTCCGCTGCAGCGGTCCTTGGGCAACTGCCAGTCATCCTACACTGATGATGCCACAGCGTCCCTGCTATGTTTCTTTTCTGCCCACCCACCCTAATCTCAATCTCAGGTGCTGACAGGGACTAGGTAGGCTCAATTTACTACTATGACCTGGAGGAAAGCCTCCATGCAAGTATTCACAAATCTACCTCAGGCATTTTAGTCCATTAGGAGAATACTTCAATTTCTACAATTGTGGGGAATCACTATGGATTCAAAATTGTATAATGATCACAATGTACTGCATAAGACTGCAATTCCACACATGCTGTTCAGAAGTAAGCCCCAATTACTGCCTTATGAATTCAAGATTTCAGCCTTAATTTACCTTTGTGGGCTCTATTTTTTCCTCTTATCCTAGCTTATTATAGAGTTACCCAAAAGTGCTGGATGCCTCATCCAAGATATAAATGTAACAACAAGCTTCAGAATTCTTAAATGGTATCTTTTTTTCTCTGTGTTACTTCATCTCTCTTACACTTTAAAAATACCAACCCACTTTAAGATGTGTGTATGGTCTTTGATATTATGTAGCTCGTTGTGGGATCAAATGTTTCTCCATTCATTCATTCATTCATTCATTCATTCATTCATTCATTCATTCATTCATAGTATGGTACTCATGGTGGTTATGGAATATTATTCCATACGGTTGATCATTCATTTCCAGAATGTATACAACACTCTTATATAAGATTCCAAACAGTAAATAAAAATGAAGAGTTTGAGAGAGAAGTAAAATGAAGAATTAAATCATATTTATGCCTAATAACATCGTGGCTGGTTAGCAAGAGAAGACTGTTTTAAGTTTGTTTGGTTTTTTTTAAAACCCTCTTTAGCATGTGCTGAAAACAACATGACATTGATGTGTGCCTGACCTCAGCATTTAGCGAATTGTTTTGTTGGCACTCATGTTGATCTAGGGCTATTCTACATGAAGCTGTTAATCTGCTTTATTTAGTTTTGGTTTTGTCCCAGAACTGAGATCCAAGCATTACAGAAGGACCATTTCCTTTCCTTCTTTTCTGCAACAGAGTCTCTAGGCGGCATTGCAGTCTAGAGAAATAGCACATACACACAGGTTTAAAAAAACCCACTTTTAGTTTTAGGATTAAATGCCACATTTTTTCTGCTTAAGAAAGCAAAAAACAAAAAAAACTGAAGGCCCAGTTTAAATGTAGAAACAAAAGTGGATGGTCACAACACTGTCTCAAGAGCTCACAAACAACCGTGAGTAGGTACAGAGTGCGTGATCTGCTGAACAGTCCCGAGAAGATGGAAAGAAGCTACATGCTGCTCAATGTTGTTGTTTTAATGACATGCCTCTGTTGAACTGTGTGGGAAACATTGTCAAGGAAAACTCTCCACATGCTTGCAGTTTGCTCACATGCTGCATGTAATTTCTTCAGTCGGAATTGCAACTAGTTCCCCTGAATGTCCATTTTAAAAATAAATAAATCCAGAATTCATCCTAGGAACTATTTTGATTGCACACAGCTAACTTCTGTTTGTCTCATGAAGACCACATTAGTAATTTATAGTTTTCTCTCTATAACTTCTAGGATCCCAAGACATTTATTAAACTATATATGAAGTATGGAGAAGTTGCTTTTCTCTGGTCAATCCAACATATTCCTTTATTCCAATAAAAGAGGAATTGCCTTAACTACTTTAGGGGCAAGGGTGATGTATAAACAACCTGAGAAAGAGCAGAACAGCAGGATTACAAATTGGATGAGGCCAGTAAAGCTTTTATGTTCATTGCTGGGACTGGGGTATAATGAAAACAAAAATACGGACTAATTTTAATACAAGGAACCATAGCATAACCAGTATTGCAAAGTATCATTTTTCTCCTTGTAGAATTCTAGGCATTAAAAAAAATCACAAATTAAAAAAATAGTTACTTTCCTCCTTGGAGAGGCCATCTGGACAGTTTATCAATGAGCAGGAATTTGTCTCTTGCTGTGAAGAGTCTGTGATGTCTCCTCATGTGCATCGAGGGAATGCTGGGATTTCAGAGCATCTGCATTCACGGGCTTCCAGCCCCCCTCCCTCTGACCCAGCCCCCAGACAGCAGGTCTAAACACGAAATTTATGGGCTGGGTGATGCGCGCCATAACCTCACACTTTTCCTGGACAAATTAGATGGACTGCAATCCATGCAGCTGTAAATGACGTCCTGCAGGGTTCCACCTGATCTTTCACAGCTTTTCATAAATCAGGTCCTACTAGCGTCAGACTGCAGTCATTAAAAAGAAATCATGGAAATTACATGTTTGCTCAAGGGAAGGGAAAGAACTTTACCCAGCACCATTGTCCTCCCCTCCCCACCCCACACCACCACTTTCCTTTGCTGCTCCTCCTCTCACCAGCTACATTTCAGGAATGTTTTCTTTGTGGTGTCAAAGAAACAAACAAAAGTGAACCCTACAACTCTCGGTGTTCTTCACTGGGCATATAAGATGGCTGGAAGGCTGCATGTGCTGCCATATGGCTCTCATAAATAAAAGGACAGCAACCCACTCAAGAGTGAGATTCCGGAGCTGATGTTCCACCAACGGCCTCTTGCAGTCAGCTTTTATGGACTGACCTATTATGTTAACAGCTGGAATTCACCTTGTTCTCTTGCATACAAGCCTGGAGAGCCATGGTTTGCTGTCATTAAGATGGATGTTGCCACATTGCAAAGAACTTTCTGTCACACCGCATCATGTCTCGAAACAGACATATAAATAGCAATGTAGCTCTGCCTCCTGCTGCTAAAAATCGCTGCTCTGAGTGTGCCAGCTGTCCAGTGGGAAAGAGATAACTCAATTTGTAACCACTACCATCAAGCGCTGCTACTATCTGCGACATAGCATTGTGCTACTAAGAGATATGTTGGATACTGTACTTTGTGAGCTTCCAGGGCTAATTTAACTTGTTGTCTTAGCTGTGCTGCACTTGATTTCCCCCAGATCACAGAGCATCTATCTCAAACTGGTAATTTTAAATACTTAGATTGTCACTTATATAAAGGCTGCTGGAGATTCCTTTGAGCTGAAAGCTGACATTTATGGCTTATAAATAAAGCTGAGAACCAGAATCCTAGATTAATTATATGATCAACATAGTTAGTGACTCTAACCTTAGGCAAGCATAAGTGTATTTTTTAATATTATCTGTGCTGCCAAATGGAAACATGGATGTATCCACTTCCCAACAGGAGACCAGAAAATAAATGACACACTGAGGAGACATT